AACACAATGAAAATACAAACGCGAACATAAACGCAAAGTGCTCACAGTCTAGCCCGGGGCAGAATCGCCTGTTTCAGCTTAATAAACGACTATAGTACCCCAACTTATTCATAGTCTTTTGCACTCACTTTAACGAACGTAGGCGCCAAACCGAACACGGGAGGCCCGGGGCCCCAAATAGCACCCTGTCTGGGCGCCAGAGGACGCCCGGATTCGATTCACTTAAAGACTATAGTAACCTTTCTTATCCATACTCTATCGCACTGTTTAAAGCGAAATTATGCACCATAGGATAGCCCAGAGCGCCAAATTGAACCCTGGTCGGGCGCCGGCGGACGCGCCTGTTTCAATTTAATGAACAATTATAATACTCCAAGCTTAACCGTAAAATACCTACAACATTTGCACTTGATCAATCCCCGCTAATTATGTAATTATTTTTTTCCCAACACCAAAACAAAGTAATAAAAAGTAAATTCTTTTCCACTAATGCAATGTTTTATAAAGGGAAGTAATTGTGTTTTCCTAATTTATCAAAGGGAAGTAAGTGCCAAATGACTAAATATAAATAATTTTCAGACATAATTAGAATTTTTGTTATTTTTTTAAAATTGTGTTTAATGAACATGCCGACAATTATTACTATCAGTTTGAAAAATGAAAATTATTTCCCAACACTTTCAATAGTAATTTTTTAACTCATAAATTTAGACAAATGCGCACGGTAATAGTCTAACACTTTAATCCATTGAAGTATGTCAACGACAAACATATTTATTTTTTACATACAGAATTGAGCTTTATATATTAGTAGACTAGCCGTCCCGGCCAGGCCCTGCTCTGGCTTCTGTGAAAAACCTTTCTGTTAAAGACTATTACCTGTGTGTTTAGTAATCATCATAAACCCGGCATTGCCCACCCAAACCGCAACCAACCAAAACAACAAAACGCAAACATAACGCTAACACAATTACAAATACAAACGAAAACAAAAACCTAACAACAAACCCAACCACAAACACCAATACAAACACAAAGAAAAAACAAACAAAAAAGCAAACGAAAACAAAAACCTAACAACAAACCCAACCACAAACACCAATACCAACAAAAAAAAAAAAAAACAACGAAAAAGCAAACGAAAACAAACCAAATCCAAACGCAAAACCAACCAAAAACACAAATACAAACCCAAACAAAAAAAACACAAACAAAAACGAAAAAAGAAAGAACAAAAACGAACCAAATCAAAACGCAACCACTAACGCAAACCCACCTAAACACAAAGAAAACACTAACGCGAACATGAACGCCCGGGGCGGAATCACCTGTTTTAGCTTAATGAACGACTATAGTACCCCAACTTATTCATAGTCTTTTGCACTCACTTAAACGAACGCGCCTGTTTCAACTTAATGAACAATTTTAATACTCCAAGCTTATCCGTAAAATACCTACAACATTTGCACTTGATCAATCCCCGCTAATTATGTATTTTTTTTTTCCCAACACCAAAACAAAGTAATAAAAAGTAAATTATTTTCCACTAATGCAATGGTTTTATAAAGGGAAGTAATTGTATTTTCCTAATTTATCAAAGGGAAGTAAGTGCTATAGGACTAAATAAAGACATAATTAGAATTTTTGTAAAAGATGATATTTTTTTAAAACTTGTGTTTAATGAACATGCCGACAATTATTACTATAATTTGAAAAATGAAAATTATTTCCCAACACTTTCAATAGTAATTTATTAACTCATAAATTTAGACAAATGCGCACGATAATTGTCTAACACTTAAATCCATCCAAGACCAACGACAAACATATGCGTTACATACAGAACTGAGCTTTATATATTAGATCTATATACCTAATCCTAAACATTGAAAAAAAATGTTAGTGGCTCTTTAAAAACTAGTAAATTTTGTAAATTGCATTTTTTGGCTCTTCAGTCTCAAAAGGTTGCCGACCCCTGGGCTAGGGTTAGTTTTATGGTTATATATATTCTATAATTGACACCTTAAAGAAAAATCATCTGTCTAGCCTACATCTGTATGCCTGAGACCATGCACGACATATCTGGCCAAGGGGTTGAACAGACTGCCAAGTTGGCCGTGTTAGAAATGTCAACGTTCCTCAAGTTCCTGCGCTCTCTCCTGCTTTAGTTTTGGTCTAAGCTTGACTATTTTCTACAAGTTGAAATAGAGTTGAGGGGTGAGACGGGTGGTGGCAGGTAAATGTAAGATAACCTCAGGGGTGTTTCGTTTGAGGAAAAAATGTAAGTGGCAAAATGTGTCCACAAAACATTAAGGACAGAAACAAGAGGGGTTCACAAGTGTAGTACCTACAGTTGGATAGTTTACGTCACAATTTTAGTTACTTGTCTATGGTGTACCTTCAACAATTTTAGTTACTTAGAGTTTTGTCTATGGTGTACCTTCAACAATTTTAGTTACTTAGAGTTTTGTCTATGGTGTACCTTCAATAATTTTAGTTACTTAGAGTTTTGTCTATGGTGTACCTTCAACAATTTTAGTTACTTAGAGTTTTGTCTATGGTGTACCTTCAACAATTTTACTTAGAGTTTTGTCTATGGTGTACCTTCAACAATTTTACTTAGAGTTTTGTCTATGGTGTACCTTCAACAATTTTAGTTACTTAGAGTTTTGTCTATGGTGTACCTTCAACAATTTTAGTTACTTAGAGTTTTGTCTATGGTGTACCTTCAACAATTTTAGTTACTTAGAGTTTTGTCTATGGTGTACCTTCAACAATTTTAGTTACTTAGAGTTTTGTCTATGGTGTACCTTCAACAATTTTAGTTACTTAGAGTTTTGTCTATGGTGTACCTTCAACAATTTTAGTTACTTAGAGTTTTGTCTATGGTGTACCTTCAACAATTTTAGTTACTTAGAGTTTTGTCTATGGTGTACCTTCAACAATTTTAGTTACTTAGAGTTTTGTCTATGGTGTACCTTCAAGTTCTTTTCAAACCTGCCAGTCCATGGGGCGCTGTATCAGTTTCTGTGAGCTCTGTATATGAAGGGATGTGTTTAGCACTATGCCCACTGTGAGCTCTGTATATGAAGGGATGTGTTTTATGCCCAGCCACCAAGTCAGGTACCCATCTGGGCGGATATCAACGATCTACTGACACGAACCCCAGAATTGGAACTCGAGACTCCGTATGTTTGTAAAATAGCAGACCATTTCAAAGGAATATAAGAATTTATTCCATTATTATCGGCATAGTGTTATAAAGTGCTCATTGTCTAAATTTATGATTTTAAAAAAATAATATTGAAGGTGTAAAAAAAATTTCATTTTTCAAACGTATAATAATAATTGCCGGCATTTCCAAATTCCATCAAACAATTTTTTTTTAAATGTATCAACTTTCACAAAAATTCTGTGTCTGAAAATTATTTTTATTTAATCCTTTAGCGCTCATTACTTCCCTTGATAAATTAAGAAAACACAATTACTTCCCTTTAAAAAACCCATTACATGGGGGGAGGGGGAGTTTACTTTTCATTACTTTGTTTCGGTGTTGGGAAAAAAATAATTACATAATTAGCGGGGATTGATCAAGTGCCATGATGTAGCTATTTTAAATACTGCCTTTTAATACTTTTCTTTATTTTATACACTGAACGTACTTTTTACAAATTATTTTTTTAAACCAATAACAGTTAAGAAGCCAGCTCCTAAATGTCCTCTATGTTTACTTCTTTCCGTTTGCGGATAAGCTTGGGGTATTATAATTGTTCACTAAATTGAAACAGTCGCGTCCGCCGGCGCCCTGGTATATCCTGTGAACGCTATGGTGCATAATTTCGTTTTAAACAGTGCGATAGACTATGGATAAGAAAGGTTACTATAGTCTTTAAGTGAATCAAATCCACGCGTCCTCTGGCGCCCCGGGCCTTCCCGTGTTCGCTATGGCGCCTACGTTCGTTTAAGTGAGTGCAAAAGACTATGAATAAGTTGGGGTACTATTAGTCGTTTACTATGCTAAAACAGGCGGTTCCGCCGGCGCCCCAGCATGGTGCGATTTGGCGCCCTGGGCTAGACTGTGAGCTAAATGGTAGTGTTAACAAACATATTGCTAGCTATATGGGGTAGTGTTAACAAACATATTGCTAGCTAAATGGTAGTGTTAACAAACATATTGCTAGCTAAATGGTAGTGTTAACAAACATATTGCTAGCTAAATGGTAGTGTTAACAAACATATTGCTAGCTATATGGTAGTGTTAACAAACATATTGCTAGCTATATGGGGTAGTGTTAACAAACATATTGCTAGCTATATGGTAGTGTTAACAAACATATTGCTAGCTATATGGTAGTGTTAACAAACATATTGCTAGCTATATGGGGTAGTGTTAACAAACATATTGCTAGCTATATGGTAGTGTTAACAAACATATTGCTAGCTATATGGGGTAGTGTTAACAAACATATTGCTAGCTAAATGGTAGTGTTAACAAACATATTGCTAGCTAAATGGTAGTGTTAACAAACATATTGCTAGCTAAATGGTAGTGTTAACAAACATACTGCTTGCTAAATGGTAGTGTTAACAAACATATTGCTAGCTATATGGGGTAGTGTTAACAAACATATTGCTAGCTATATGGTAGTGTTAACAAACATATTGCTAGCTATATGGGGTAGTGTTAACAAACATATTGCTAGCTATATGGTAGTGTTAACAAACATATTGCTAGCTATATGGTAGTGTTAACAAACATATTGCTAGCTATATGGGGTAGTGTTAACAAACATATTGCTAGCTAAATGGTAGTGTTAACAAACATATTGCTAGCTAAATGGTAGTGTTAACAAACATATTGCTAGCTATATGGTAGTGTTAACAAACATATTGCTAGCTATATGGTAGTGTTAACAAACATATTGCTAGCTATATGGTAGTGTTAACAAACTAAAGAATCTTGCTTCAAGTCACCAAACATGTCAAGTCAACAAACAACATGATTTGTTGCATATATGTATTTTTCCACCTGAGTATATATGTATGTATAAGTAATCTCAACAGGGGCATTTCAAATTCTACAAGAACATCAACTTTCAAACCATCAAAACCTACAAGACCAACTTTCATACCTAGCAAAACCTACAAGAACATCAACTTTCATACCTAGCAAAACCTACAAGAACATCAACTTTCAAACCTGGTAAAACCTACAAGAACATCAACTTATAAACCTGGTAAATCCTACAGAAAATCAAATGTTAAAACTGGTCAAAAGCTACAAGAACAATGAGGCTAACATCAACACAATCTGTTAGATCTCTTCTGGTCCAGCATGTCTCAGATCAGATATCAGCAGCCAGCCAGCCAGTCAGCCAGCCAGCCAGCCAAAGTTTGTAGCTGAGCTGGTTGTGCCCCAGCTAGAGGCCCTTGTTGAAGTACACTGTGCTGGGAGGGTTGGGCAGGGCCAGGATCTTGTCTCGCACTTCTGGCTCCAGGCTGGACACGGACATGGAGCTGGGGGGTAGATAGAAAACTGTTGGCCCACTGGACTAGAGGGACTGTTGGCCCACTGGACTAGAGGGACTGTTGGCCCACTGGACTAGAGGGACTGTTGGCCCACTGGACTAGAGGGACTGTTGGCCCACTGGACTAGAGGGACTGTCGGCCCACTGGACTAGAGGGACTGTCGGCCCACTGGACTAGAGGGACTGTCGGCCCACTGGACTAGAGGGACTGTCGGCCCACTGGACTAGAGGGACTGTCGGCCCACTGGACTAGAGGGACTGTCGGCCCACTGGACTAGAGGGACTGTCGGCCCACTGGACTAGAGGGACTGTCGGCCCACTGGACTAGAGGGACTGTCGGCCCACTGGACTAGAGGGACTGTCGGCCCACTGGACTAGAGGGACTGTCGGCCCACTGGACTAGAGGGACTGTCGGCCCACTGGACTAGAGGGACTGTCGGCCCACTGGACTAGAGGGACTGTCGGCCCACTGGACTAGAGGGACTGTTGGCCCACTGGACTAGAGGGACTGTTGGCCCACTGGACTAGAGGGACTGTTGGCCCACTGGACTAGAGGGACTGTTGGCCCACTGGACTAGAGGGACTGTTGGCCCACTGGACTAGAGGGACTGTTGGCCCACCGGACTAGAGGGACTGTTGGCCCACCGGACTAGAGGGACTGTTGGCCCACCGGACTAGAGGGACTGTTGGCCCACCGGACTAGAGGGACTGTCGGCCCACTGGACTAGAGGGACTGTCGGCCCACTGGACTAGAGGGACTGTTGGCCCACTGGACTAGAGGGACTGTTGGCCCACTGGACTAGAGGGACTGTCGGCCCACTGGACTAGAGGGACTGTCGGCCCACTGGACTAGAGGGACTGTCGGCCCACTGGACTAGAGGGACTGTCGGCCCACTGGACTAGAGGGACTGTTGGCCCACTGGACTAGAGGGACTGTTGGCCCACTGGACTAGAGGGACTGTTGGCCCACTGGACTAGAGGGACTGTTGGCCCACCGGACTAGAGGGACTGTTGGCCCACTGGACTAGAGGGACTGTTGGCCCACTGGACTAGAGGGACTGTTGGCCCACTGGACTAGAGGGACTGTTGGCCCACTGGACTAGAGGGACTGTTGGCCCACCGGACTAGAGGGACTGTTGCCCCACTGGACTAGAGGGACTGTTGGCCCACTGGACTAGAGGGACTGTTGGCCCACTGGACTAGAGGGACTGTTGGCCCACTGGACTAGAGGGACTGTTGGCCCACTGGACTAGAGGGACTGTTGGCCCACTGGACTAGAGGGACTGTTGGCCCACTAGACTAGAGGGACTGTCTGCCCACTGGACTAGAGGGACTGTTGGCCCACTGGAGTAGAGGGACTGTTGGCCCACTGGACTAGAGGGACTGTTGGCCCACTGGACTAGAGGGACTGTTGGCCCACTGGACTAGAGGGACTGTCGGCCCACTGGACTAGAGGGACTGTCGGCCCACTGGACTAGAGGGACTGTTGGCCCACTGGACTAGAGGGACTGTTGGCCCACTGGACTAGAGGGACTGTTGGCCCACTGGACTAGAGGGACTGTTGGCCCACTGGACTAGAGGGACTGTTGGCCCACTGGACTAGAGGGACTGTCCGCCCACTGGACTAGAGGGACTGTTGGCCCACTGGACTAGAGGGACTGTTGGCCCACTGGACTAGAGGGACTGTTGGCCCACTGGACTAGAGGGACTGTTGGCCCACTGGACTAGAGGGACTGTCGGCCCACTGGACTAGAGGGACTGTCTGCCCACTGGACTAGAGGGACTGTTGGCCCACTGGACTAGAGGGACTGTTGGCCCACTGGACTAGAGGGACTGTTGGCCCACTAGACTAGAGGGACTGTTGGCCCACTGGACTAGAGGGACTGTCTGCCCACTGGACTAGAGGGACTGTTGGCCCACTGGACTAGAGGGACTGTTGGCCCACTGGACTAGAGGGACTGTTGGCCCACTGGACTAGAGGGATTGTTGGCCCACTGGACTAGAGGGACTGTTGGCCCACTTGACTAGAGGGACAGCATTATTTTCTAGGAGAGAAGCCGTCCCGTATGAGGTTTGTACTCTAAGGACATAGTTGTGTAGGACATTGTCCTGTAAAACAGCACTCACCTTTTCTGAGGGAACAAGGCGCAGCAAAGAGGGGTAGCAAAAACCAGCCTAAAAAAGTTAAGATGTCATTTTTTAAATTCTTTACAATGACGAAATACTTTTTTATTATAATTATTTAGCTAAGGACTTTTTCTAATATACAGACGACTTTATGAAAGACTAATGAGAGTCTACTTACAAGACACCTATCATTCCTACTTGGATGGGTGCATTCAGCCATGGCATCCTGTGCATGAATGATTTCTTCTCTAAACTGTTCATGATAAAAGGGGGGATCACTGCGGGAATAGATTCAGTGGTGTTACTTGATGACTATACATCACATTGAACAACACCACAGGCCAACAACAACAACATAGCAGCAACTGCATGGGACAGCTGCATCTACACAGCCACAACACCAGCAGCATGTACAGGACCACAACACCAGCATGTAAGGACCACAACACCATACAGGACCACAACACCACCAGCATGTACAGGACCACAACACCAGCATGTACAGGAGCACAACACCATACAGGAGCACAACACCATACAGGACCACAACACCATACAGGACCACAACACCATACAGGACCACAACACCATACAGGACCACAACACCAGCAGCATGTACAGGACCACAACACCATACAGGACCACAACACCATACAGGACCACAACACCAGCATGTACAGGACCACAACACCAGCATGTACAGGACCACAACACCAGCATGTACAGGACCACAACACCATACAGGACCACAAGACCATACAGGACCACAAGACCATACAGGACCACAAGACCATACAGGACCACAACACCATATAGGACCACAACACCATACAGGACCACAACACCATACAGGACCACAAGACCAGCAGCATGTACAGGACCACAAGACCATACAGGACCACAACACCATACAGGACCACAACACCATACAGGACCACAACACCATACAGGACCACAACACCATACAGGACCACAAGACCATACAGGACCACAACACCATACAGGACCACAACACCATACAGGACCACAACACCATACAGGACCACAACACCATACAGGACCACAACACCATACAGGACCACAACACCATACAGGACCACAAGACCATACAGGACCACAAGACCATACAGGACCACAACACCATACAACAGGACCACAAGACCATACAGGACCACAAGACCATACAGGACCACAACACCATACAGGACCACAACACCATACAGGACCACAAGACCATACATGACCACAAGACCATACAGGACCACAACACCATACAGGACCACAACACCATACAGGACCACAACACCATACAGGACCACAACACCATACAGGACCACAACACCATACAGGACCACAACACCATACAGGACCACAACACCATACAGGACCACAACACCATACAGGACCACAACACCATACAGGACCACAAGACCAGCATGTACAGGACCACAACACCAGCATGTACAGGACCACAACACCATACAGGAGCACAACACCATACAGGACCACAACACCAGCAGCATGTACAGGACCACAACACCATACAGGACCACAACACCATACAGGACCACAAGACCATACAGGACCACAAGACCATACAGGACCACAACACCATACAGGACCACAACACCATACAGGACCACAACACCATACAGGACCACAACACCATACAGGACCACAACACCATACAGGACCACAAGACCATACAGGACCACAAGACCATACAGGACCACAACACCATACAGGACCACAACACCATACAGGACCACAACACCATACAGGACCACAACACCATACAGGACCACAAGACCATACAGGACCACAACACCATACAGGACCACAACACCATACAGGACCACAACACCATACAGGACCACAACACCATACAGGACCACAACACCATACAGGACCACAACACCATACAGGACCACAACACCATACAGGACCATACAGGACCACAACACCATACAGGACCACAACACCATACAGGACCACAACACCATACAGGACCACAACACCATACAGGACCACAACACCATACAGGACCACAAGAGCATGTAGACAACTTACACATCCCTGGCATGGCCATGATGACTCTGGATATAACCACTTGTGTGATGGCGCTGCTGGCGGCACGCTTTGACTCACCAACTTTGTTGCCTTCACTGTCCAGTACTGGGATGCCCTGCATCAGTTCTCTGTCATAGACACAACATAGAGTCAAGGAGAGGCTTGTGTGTGTGAGGGGGGGGGGAGGAAGAAGAATTGTGTGGGGGACAGGCTCATGTGTGTGAGTTGCTTGTGTAGGGGACAGGGTTGTAGGGGAGAGAGGCTCTTGTGTGTGCGAGGGTTGTGTGGGGGAGAGGTTTGTGTGGGGACAAGAGGGTTGTGTGGGGAGGAGAGGATTGTGTGGGGGAGAGTTTTGATGGAGAGTGGCTCTTGTGTGTGCAAGGGTTGTGTGGGGGAGTGAATTGTGTGGGGAGGAGAGGGTTGGTTGTGTGGGGCTCTTGTCGTACCTGCTCCTCATACACGGGATGTTGATACAGTTGGCCGCAGCTACAGCAGCAAAAGGCACAAACCTCCCAATGATGGCAGGGAATTTCTGAAAGTAACAAAAAACATCTGTTATAAACCTAAACATCTGTTATAAACCTAAACATCTGTTATAAACCTAAACATCTGTTATAAACCTAAACATCTGTTATAAACCTAAACATCTGTTATAAACCTAAACATCTGTTATAAACCTAAACATCTGTTATAAACCTAAACATCTGTTATAAACCTAAACATCTGTTATAAACCTAAACATCTGCTATCAACCTAAACATTAAGTGTCTGCTTACAACATCTTACCTTGACCATGTTGTTAAGTGTCTATCAACATCTTACCTTGACCATGTTAAGTATCTATCAACATCTTACCTTGACCATGTTGTTAAGTGTCTATCAACATCTTACCTTGACCATGTTGTTAAGTATCTATCAACATCTTACCTTGACCATGTTGTTAAGTGTCTATCAACATCTTACCTTGACCATGTTGTTAAGTGTCTATCAACATCTTACCTTGACCATGTTGTTGAGTGTCTATCAACATCTTACCTTGACCATGTTAAGTGTCTATCAACATCTTACCTTGACCATGTTAAGTGTCTATCAACATCTTACCTTGACCATATTAAGTGTCTATCAACATCTTACCTTGACTATATTGTTAAGTGTCTATCAACATCTTACCTTGACCATATTAAGTGTCTATCAACATCTTACCTTGACCATGTTGTTAAGTGTCTATCAACATCTTACCTTGACCATGTTGTTAAGTGTCTATCAACATCTTACCTTGACCATGTTGTTAAGTGTCTATCAACATCTTACCTTGACCATGTTGTTAAGTGTCTATCAACATCTTACCTTGACCATGTTAAGTGTCTATCAACATCTTACCTTGACCATGTTGTTAAGTGTCTATCAACATCTTACCTTGACCATGTTGTTAAGTGTCTATCAACATCTTACCTTGACCATGTTAAGTGTCTATCAACATCTTACCTTGACCATGTTGTTAAGTGTCTATCAACATCTTACCTTGACCATGTTGTTAAGTGTCTATCAACATCTTACCTTGACCATGTTGTTAAGTGTCTATCAACATCTTACCTTGACCATGTTGTTAAGTGTCTATCAACATCTTACCTTGACCATGTTGTTAAGTGTCTATCAACATCTTACCTTGACCATGTTGTTAAGTGTCTATCAACATCTTACCTTGACCATGTTGTTAAGTGTCTATCAACATCTTACCTTGACCATGTTGTTAAGTGTCTATCAACATCTTACCTTGACCATGTTGTTAAGTGTCTATCAACATCTTACCTTGACCATGTTGTTAAGTGTCTATCAACATCTTACCTTGACCATGTTGTTAAGTGTCTATCAACATCTTACCTTGACCATGTTGTTAAGTGTCTATCAACATCTTACCTTGACCATGTTAAGTGTCTATCAACATCTTATCTTGACCATGTTGTTAAGTGTCTATCAACATCTTACCTTGACCATGTTGTTAAGTGTCTATCAACATCTTACCTTGACCATGTTGTTAAGTGTCTATCAACATCTTACCTTGACCATGTTGTTAAGTGTCTATCAACATCTTACCTTGACCATGTTGTTAAGTGTCTATCAACATCTTACCTTGACCATGTTGTTAAGTGTCTATCAACATCTTACCTTGACCATGTTGTTAAGTGTCTATCAACATCTTACCTTGACCATGTTGTTAAGTGTCTATCAACATCTTACCTTGACCATGTTGTTAAGTGTCTATCAACATCTTACCTTGACCATGTTGTTAAGTGTCTATCAACATCTTACCTTGACCATGTTGTTAAGTGTCTATCAACATCTTACCTTGACCATGTTAAGTGTCTATCAACATCTTACCTTGACCATGTTGTTAAGTGTCTATCAACATCTTATCTTGACCATGTTGTTAAGTGTCTATCAACATCTTATCTTGACCATGTTGTTAAGTGTCTATCAACATCTTACCTTGACCATGTTGTTAAGTGTCTATCAACATCTTACCTTGACCATGTTGTTAAGTGTCTATCAACATCTTACCTTGACCATGTTGTTAAGTGTCAATCAACATCTTACCTTGACCATGTTGTTAAGTATCTATCAACATCTTACCTTGACCATGTTGTTAAGTGTCTATCAACATCTTACCTTGACCATGTTGTTAAGTGTCTATCAACATCTTACCTTGACCATGTTAAGTGTCTATCAACATCTTACCTTGACCATGTTGTTAAGTGTCTATCAACATCTTACCTTGACCATGTTGTTAAGTGTCTATCAACATCTTACCTTGACCATGTTGTTAAGTGTCTATCAACATCTTACCTTGACCATGTTGTTAAGTGTCTATCAACATCTTACCTTGACCATGTTGTTAAGTGTCTATCAACATCTTACCTTGACCATGTTGTTAAGTGTCTATCAACATCTTACCTTGACCATGTTGTTAAGTGTCTATCAACATCTTACCTTGACCATGTTGTTAAGTGTCTATCAACATCTTACCTTGACCATGTTGTTAAGTGTCTATCAACATCTTACCTTGACCATGTTGTTAAGTGTCTATCAACATCTTACCTTGACCATGTTGTTAAGTGTCTATCAACATCTTACCTTGACCATGTTGTTAAGTGTCTATCAACATCTTACCTTGACCATGTTGTTAAGTGTCTATCAACATCTTACCTTGACCATGTTGTTAAGTATCTATCAACATCTTACCTTGACCATGTTGTTAAGTGTCTATCAACATCTTACCTTGACCATGTTGTTAAGTGTCTATCAACATCTTACCTTGACCATGTTGTTAAGTGTCTATCAACATCTTACCTTGACCATGTTGTTAAGTGTCTATCAACATCTTACCTTGACCATGTTGTTAAGTGTCTATCAACATCTTACCTTGACCATGTTGTTAAGTGTCTATCAACATCTTACCTTGACCATGTTGTTAAGTGTCTATCAACATCTTACCTTGACCATGTTGTTAAGTGTCTATCAACATCTTACCTTGACCATGTTGTTAAGTGTCTATCAACATCTTACCTTGACCATGTTAAGTGTCTATCAACATCTTACCTTGACCATGTTGTTAAGTGTCTATCAACATCTTACCTTGACCATGTTGTTAAGTATCTATCAACATCTTACCTTGACCATGTTGTTAAGTGTCTATCAACATCTTACCTTGACCATGTTGTTAAGTGTCTATCAACATCTTACCTTGACCATGTTGTTAAGTGTCTATCAACATCTTACCTTGACCATGTTAAGTGTCTATCAACATCTTACCTTGACCATGTTGTTAAGTGTCTATCAACATCTTATCTTGACCATGTTGTTAAGTGTCTATCAACATCTTACCTTGACCATGTTGTTAAGTGTCTATCAACATCTTACCTTGACCATGTTGTTAAGTGTCTATCAACATCTTATCTTGACCATGTTGTTAAGTGTCTATCAACATCTTACCTTGACCATGTTGTTAAGTGTCTATCAACATCTTACCTTGACCATGTTGTTAAGTGTCTATCAACATCTTACCTTGACCATGTTGTTAAGTGTCTATCAACATCTTACCTTGACCATGTTGTTAAGTGTCTATCAACATCTTACCTTGACCATGTTGTTAAGTGTCTATCAACATCTTACCTTGACCATGTTGTTAAGTGTCTATCAACATCTTACCTTGACCATGTTGTTAAGTGTCTATCAACATCTTACCTTGACCATGTTGTTAAGTGTCTATCAACATCTTACCTTGACCATGTTAAGTGTCTATCAACATCTTACCTTGACCATGTTGTTAAGTGTCTATCAACATCTTACCTTGACCATGTTGTTAAGTATCTATCAACATCTTACCTTGACCATGTTGTTAAGTGTCTATCAACATCTTACCTTGACCATGTTGTTAAGTGTCTATCAACATCTTACCTTAACCATGTTGTTAAGTGTCAATCAACATCTTACCTTGACCATGTTGTTAAGTATCTATCAACATCTTACCTTGACCATGTTGTTAAGTGTCTATCAACATCTTACCTTGACCATGTTGTTAAGTGTCTATCAACATCTTACCTTGACCATGTTGTTAAGTGTCTATCAACATCTTACCTTGACCATGTTGTTAAGTGTCTATCAACATTTTACCTTGACCATGTTGTTAAGTGTCTATCAACATCTTACCTTGACCATGTTAAGTGTCTATCAACATCTTACCTTGACCATGTTGTTAAGTGTCTATCAACATCTTACCTTGACCATGTTAAGTGTCTATCAACATCTTACCTTGACCATGTTGTTAAGTGTCTATCAACATCTTACCTTGACCATGTTAAGTGTCTATCAACATCTTACCTTGACCATGTTGTTAAGTGTCTATCAACATCTTACCTTGACCATGTTGTTAAGTGTCTATCAACATCTTACCTTGACCATGTTGTTAAGTATCTATCAACATCTTACCTTGACCATGTTGTTAAGTGTCTATCAACATCTTACCTTGACCATGTTGTTAAGTGTCTATCAACATCTTACCTTGACCATGTTGTTAAGTGTCTATCAACATCTTACCTTGACCATGTTGTTAAGTGTCTATCAACATCTTACCTTGACCATGTTGTTAAGTGTCTATCAACATCTTACCTTGACCATGTTGTTAAGTGTCTATCAACATCTTACCTTGACCATGTTAAGTGTCTATCAACATCTTACCTTGACCATGTTGTTAAGTGTCTATCAACATCTTACCTTGACCATGTTGTTAAGTGTCTATCAACATCTTACCTTGACCATGTTAAGTGTCTATCAACATCTTACCTTGACCATGTTGTTAAGTGTCTATCAACATCTTACCTTGACCATGTTGTTAAGTGTCAAGGCCGTTGTCACAGCTCCTCCAGTGGCCATTACATAGGAGACACCCAGATGCCTAAATTAGTCATAATTTGTTAGGTGCCTAAATTAGTCATAATTTGTTAGGTGACTAAATTAGTCATAATTTGTTAGGTGACTAAATTAGTCATAATTTGTTAAGTGACTAAATTAGTAATGTTTAATTGGTGACCTAATTAGTCATGGTTCATTGGTGACTAAATTAGTAATGTTGCAATGGGTGACTAAATTAGTCATATTTCACTTAGTGACAAAATTATTTCTATTGTATTAAGTGTCTAAACTAGTCAAATCTAATTAGGAGACCTATTTGTCATGCTAAATTACTTTTGTTGTTTAATTATGTCTAAATCTAAATTCTACTGGACCGAGTTATTTTAAATTTTTCACTGAGGACAATGAATGTGACATAAAATGTTACTTAATAAGCTGATGAATTCACTCTTTGAAAATTCTAATTTTTTTTTATAAAGCCCTAATGTTCCGCACTATTATACACACACTTTTTGCTGTTCATTTCATGCACAGTGCTTTTTTATACTTTCTCATATAGGCTATACGCAGGATAGAGAAAGTCTTGTAATCGTGCAAAAAAAAAAATTGGAGATTTTTACAAATCTCGACGTTTTACACCTCACTGATACGGAAAAACATAATTTTGCAATCTTGTCCATATGTCTGTGTGTGTGTCTGTGTGTGTGTGTCTGTGAGTGGGTAAACACGATACCTTGAGTACAGTTACAGCTAGGTTGATGAAATTTCATATATAAGTATTTTATCAAAATCGTAGATCTGTATCAACTTTTGAGCGATTGCCAATAACCGGAAGTGGTACTTTTTCTACTTTGAATTTTTAAAAAGCCTATAACTTGAGTACTACTTCAGATAAATAAATAAAATTTAACATGTAAGTAAAAGTTCTACTTCTCTACCTTCTGTCAATTTTTGAGTAAATTCCGTTGACCAGAAGTACTAATTTACGCTATTTCCGATTTCTCAAAATATATAAAGTACTAATAATATTGGGCACTATTATGCACATTTTGTTCTGGCGTTTGCTTGGTGCGCAATTCTTTTTTCTACTAGATTTTATTCTATTTTTAAAAGTTTAAGTAAACAAAAATCATGTCTATATTCCGAGTTGCCATCCCACGTAGTGTTATATTAGAATATTCGAGAAAGTTTAGGGGAGATCACTCCTGGTTTATTCTATTCTATTTTTTAAAATTTAAGTATTTAAAAAAATTTGATTAAAAATCATATCCATACCCCCTCGTAGCAACCCCCATTATTGTTTTAAAAGAATATTGGAGAAAGTTAATGGGAGATCACTCCTGCTTTATTTTAATATTGTGAGATTTCTAAGTGTTTCTGGAAATGTTTAGGTGAGATTTTAAGTGTTTCTAGAAATGTTTAGGTGCGTCATCTTGTCAAGGTTGGGTGATGATTTGACATTTTGCTGCAACAAAATTAGTCATGTTTAGGTGACTCCATTGTTTATGTGACTCAATTGTTTATGCGACTTTATTGTTTATGTGACTCAGTTGTTCATGTTTATGTAACTCTATTGTTTATTATATTATTGTTCGCCTCTAGGAGCCTAACTGAATGTTTCCCCTAAAAAGTATCTGTTTTCACTTACACAGGAGAAATGGGCGTGTCCCCACTACGGTTGGTGTAGTTGACCACAGCATTAAACGTTTGGTTAAACCACTGCCAGAAGATCACAGCTGGGGTAGTTCTAGAGTCAGTACATGTGGAGTCAGTACAACATGGAGTCAGTAAAACATATGGAGTCAGGACAACATGTGGAGTCAGTACAATATGTGGAGTCAGTACAATATGTGGAGTCAGTACAACATGGAGTCAGTACAACATGGAGTCACTGTGGAGTCAGTACAATATGGAGTCACTGTGGAGTCAGTACAAAATGGAGTCAGGACAATATGTGGAGTCAGTAAAACATGAAGTCAGTACAACATGTGGTGTCACTACAACATGGAGTCAGTACAACATGGAGTCAGTACAACATGGAGTCTGTACAACATGGAGTCTGTACAACATGGAGTCACTGTGGAGTCAGTACAACATGTGGAGTCAGTAAAATATGTGGAGTCAATAAAATAAAATATCAACATTTTATAAAATGTCATCATGCAACTAGTGACAGATGTCAACCTACTAGTAGAATGTCATCATGCAACCAGATGTCAACCTACTAGTAGAATGTCATCATGCAACCAGATGTCAACCTACTTGTAGAATGTCATCATGCAACCACATGTCAACCTACTTGTAGAATGTCATCATGCAACCTGTGATGGTCATATTCATGGGCACTTGTGCTGACATCCTCCCCAGGAGAAACATTTTTTCTTTGGTGTCGGGGTGAAAGGCGGAGTCATACAAATGTTTGGCTTGCCACAACTTGTCTTCTGTTAGGCCTGCTACCAACTCTCCTTTCCTGGAGGTACATTAAACACATTAGAGGTTTAGCATTAGAGTTGGCGTAAGGATTATGGTTCGGGATAAGATTGTTGATGTTTGTTTTGGTTTAGATTATGGTTTAGGTTAAGTCAAAACTATGATCAGTCTCATGCTATGTCCTCATTGGGCACTTCTCTAAAAATGCACCATTGGTAGCATACCAAGGTTAGTGTATCTGTATCTGACACTAAGGTAAGTGTATCTGACACTAAGGTAAGTGTATCTGACACTTAGGTAAGTGTATCTGTATCTGACACTAAGGTAAGTATCTGTATCTGACACTAAGGTAAGTGTATCTGACACTAAGGTAAGTGTATCTGACACTTAGGTAAGTGTATCTGTATCTGACACTAAGGTAAGTGTATCTGACACTAAGGTAAGTGTATCTGACGCTTAGGTAAGTGTATCTGTATCTGACACTAAGGTAAGTGTATCTGTATCTGACACTAAGGTAAGTGTATCTGACACTAAGGTAAGTGTATCTGACACTAAGGTAAGTGTATCTGTATCTGACACTAAGGTAAGTGTATCTGACACTTAGGTAAGTGTATCTGTATCTGACACTAAGGTAAGTGTATCTGACACTAAGGTAAGTGTATCTGACGCTTAGGTAAGTGTATCTGTATCTGACACTAAGGTAAGTGTATCTGTATCTGACACTAAGGTAAGTGTATCTGACACTAAGGTAAGTGTATCTGACACTAAGGTAAGTGTATCTGTATCTGACACTAAGGTAAGTGTATCTGTATCTGACACTAAGGTAAGTGTATCTGTATCTGACACTAAGGTAAGTGTATCTGACATTAAGGTAAGTGTATCTGTATCTGACACTAAGGTAAGTGTATCTGTATCTGACACTAAGGTAAGTGTATCTGTATCTGACACTAAGGTAAGTGTATCTGTATCTGACACTAAGGTAAGTGTATCTGTATCTGACACTAAGGTAAGTGTATCTGACATTAAGGTAAGTGTATCTGTATCTGACACTAAGGTAAGTGTATCTGTATCTGACACTAAGGTAAGTGTATCTGTATCTGACACTAAGGTAAGTGTATCTGACAATAAGGTAAGTGTATCTGTATCTGACACTAAGGTAAGTGTATCTGACACTAAGGTAAGTGTATCTGTATCTGACACTAAGGTAAGTGTATCTGACAATAAGGTAAGTGTATCTGTATCTGACACTAAGGTAAGTGTATCTGACACTAAGGTAAGTGTATCTGTATCTGACACTAAGGTAAGTGTATCTGACAATAAGGTAAGTGTATCTGTATCTGACACTAAGGTAAGTGTATCTGACACTAAGGTAAGTGTATCTGTATCTGACACTAAGGTAAGTGTATCTGTATCTGACACTAAGGTAAGTGTATCTGTATCTGACACTAAGGTAAGTGTATCTGACACTAAGGTAAGTGTATCTGACACTAAGATACGTGTACCTGTATCTTTCAACAATGTCTTTAGCTTGATCCAATGATTGACCTGAAGCGAAGATGTTGAGAGGGTTTGTGGTGATGAAAAAGTGTTTGGCCCTGCCCTTGTAGGTGGACTGATCGTACCTGGGCTCATCGATGTTCACCTTCAGCTGGGTCATCCTGACCTGCAGACACAAACAATTGCTCAACCTGTACAGTGAGGGTGGGTGCTCAATATTTATCTTATCCAATCAAGCATGTTCTTCATCAAATTCTTACACAATCCAGTGTGTTGATTTTGTTGGAGACTAAATGGTAAGAAGTTCGGAAAGACAATTATTTTTTCCATCACTTTCATAAGTGTTAAATTATAAAATAAAATAAAGATGTATGTCAAAGTCCTAAAGCATGTATAAAGTTAAACTTTAACTTGTCCCATTCAAATCTAAGTATTGGATAAAGTTAAACTTGTACCAGTAAACATATCATTGATGTCAAGAAACCTAGTCTGTTATACTGAACATGTCAAGAAATGACAAAAGAACCGCCTACAAAGCTAGTCAATGATTTGGCCATTTGTTGGATGCTAACAAAGTGTCTTTCTAACTATAAAACCCAGTTGCCTGACATTTGACAAATATTTTGGGAAGCTGTTCATGTTGACATCTTCATTTTTTTAAAGTAAGTCATAAAAACATTTTTAATTAAAATCAATTATATTATTACTTTTTAAAAACATCCATTTCTTTCTAAAATATTTTCTGAGCTTGATCAACATTCAGTTTTTTTTATTAATTAGTTTCTGTTACAAAGGATACAAAATAGTTTGTCGTGATGGGTCCATTCATTATTATTTTTACTTGGATCAAAATTGTGTTTTTCTCAATTCTGTCTATTGTTAAAAACTCTCAGAAAAGTTTTTCCAATAAGAACTTGAAAATATTTTTTTTTTATGTTTGCCGACATTTCTATTTTATATTTTCAAGCTTAAATTATAACCTGAAATTCCACTTCCACATCAGGAACAATGATTGCCAATAAAATTTTAATAATTTTTTAAATTGCATGGTCCAAGTTATGGTCCGAGTTATGCCTTTTTTGTTTTTGGATTTTTAAAATTGTTTATTTTTTATAATTTAGGTTTGACAAAAAGCTCAATATAAAGGTTTTTAAAACCAGATTAATTTGAAAAACACAGCACAAACTTTTTAAAAAGTTATCTAATGAACTGCCATAATGGCTAGAATTCAGTTGTAACATTACTTTTTTAATATGCAAAAGTATGTGGTCACATATTCTGATTAATGTGGCATCATTTATGGATAACCCCGTAGTTATATGATTTAGTAGCCCATAATTAAATGAAGTGTATTTATGAAATAGCTGAATTGCTTAGTTTTATTATAGATGTCTACTATCACACTACTGTGTTAAGTGTGTTTTGTAATAGTTTTATTATAGATGTCTACTATCACACTACTGTGTTAAGTGTGTTTTGTAATAGTTTTATTATAGATGTCTACTATCACACTACTGTGTTAAGTGTGTTTTGTACTAGTTTTATTATAGATGTCTACTATCACACTACTGTGTTAAGTGTGTTTTGTACTAGTTTTATTATAGATGTCTACTATCACACTACTGTGTTAAGTGTGTTTTGTACTAGTTTTATTATAGATGTCTACTATCACACTACTGTGTTAAGTGTGTTTTGTAATAGTTTTATTATAGATGTCTACTATCACACTACTGTGTTAAGTGTGTTTTGTAATAGTTTTATTATAGATGTCTACTATCACACTACTGTGTTAAGTGTGTTTTGTAATAGTTTTATTATAGATGTCTACTATCACACTACTGTGTTAAGTGTGTTTTGTACTAGTTTTATTATAGATGTCTACTATCACACTACTGTGTTAAGTGTGTTTTGTAATAGTTTTATTATAGATGTCTACTATCACACTACTGTGTTAAGTGTGTTTTGTAATAGTTTTATTATAGATGTCTACTATCACACTACTGTGTTAAGTGTGTTTTGTAATAGTTTTATTATAGATGTCTACTATCACACTACTGTGTTAAGTGTGTTTTGTACTAGTTTTATTATAGATGTCTACTATCACACTACTGTGTTAAGTGTGTTTTGTACTAGTTTTATTATAGATGTCTACTATCACACTACTGTGTTAAGTGTGTTTTGTAATAGTTTTATTATAGATGTCTACTATCACACTACTGTGTTAAGTGTGTTTTGTACTAGTTTTATTATAGATGTCTACTATCACACTACTGTGTTAAGTGTGTTTTGTACTAGTTTGCTTTATGTTATAGTAATAGTTTATTGGTTCTTAACCTGGGTTTGATGAAACCCAAGGGTTCATTCCTGGGTTTGATGAAACCCAAGGGTTCAGTCCTGGTTTGATGAAACCCAAGGGTTCATTCCTGGGTTTGATGAAACCCAAGGGTTCAGTCCTGGTTTGATGAAACCCAAGGGTTCAGTCCTGGGTTTGATGAAACCCAAGGGTTCAGTCCTGGGTTTGATGAAACCCAAGGGTTCAGTCCTGGGTTTGATGAAACCCAAGGGTTCATTCCTGGGTTTGATGAAACCCAAGGGTTCAGTCCTGGTTTGATGAAACCCAAGGGTTCATTCCTGGGTTTGATGAAACCCAAGGGTTCAGTCCTGGTTTGATGAAACCCAAGGGTTCAGTCCTGGGTTTGATGAAACCCAAGGGTTCATTCCTGGGTTTGATGAAACCCAAGGGTTCAGTCCTGGGTTTGATGAAACCCAAGGGTTCAGTCCTGGGTTTGATGAAACCCAAGGGTTCAGTCCTGGGTTTGATGAAACCCAAGGGTTCAGTCCTGGGTTTGATGAAACCCAAGGGTTCAGTGAGCCAGTCTCAGGGTGGAGATTGGACATACACCAGATGCACAGAATTTGCAACAGCATATTGTAAGTGCGGACGATGAAACTAGCTGCGATGACAGTTTAAATATGACATGACAACACAGTAATAAAGTGCACCAGAGTGACACAACGTACATCAGGATTGTGATATTTCTATATCATGGAACCCTTGATGTCATGGCACACTCTACCTTCAAAAGGCATGAGTTCATCTTGAATAGACGTGCTGTGAGAAACAAAATTATTATTTCTGTAGCATGGCCCAGTAGTCAACTTGTGACTGCCATGATGGTATATTGTTTCATAGTATTCATACAAACTATATTGAGGAGAAAAAAGCGTTTGGACGAATATGTGCAAGTACAGTAGGGAGTCACTTGTGTGACTGGATGGGAGGCAACGTCCTAACTGTATCAACGTCCTAACTGTATCAACGTCCTAACTGTATCAACGTCCTAACTGTATCAACGTCCTAACTGTATCAACGTCCTAACTGTATCAACGTCCTAACTGTATCAACGTCCTAACTGTATCAACGTCCTAACTGTATCAACGTCCTAACTGTATCAACGTCCTAACTGTATCAACGTCCTAACTGTATCAACGTCCTAACTGTATGAACGTCCTAACTGTATGAACGTCCTAACTGTATGAACGTCCTAACTGTATGATCGTCCTAACTGTATGAACGTCCTAACTGTATGAATGTCCTAACTGTATGAATGTTCTAACTGTATCAACGTCCTAACTGTATCAACGTCCTAACTGTATGAACGTCCTAACTGTATCAACGTCCTAACTGTATCAACGTCCTAACTGTATCAACGTCCTAACTGTATGAACGTCCTAACTGTATCAACGTCCTAACTGTATGAACGTCCTAACTGTATGAACGTCCTAACTGTATGAATGTCCTAACTGTATGAATGTCCTAACTGTATGAACGTCCTAACTGTATGAACGTCCTAACTGTATCAACGTCCTAACTGTATGAACGTCCTAACTGTATGAACGTCCTAACTGTATGAACGTCCTAACTGTATGAACGTCCTAACTGTATGAACGTCCTAACTGTATGAACGTCCTAACTGTATCAACGTCCTAACTGTATGAACGTCCTAACTGTATGAACGTCCTAACTGTATGAACGTCCTAACTGTATGAACGTCCTAACTGTATGATCGTACTAACTGTATGAACGTCCTAACTGTATGATCGTCCTAACTGTATGAACGTCCTAACTGTATGAACGTCTTAACTGTATGAACGTCCTAACTGTATGAACGTCCTAACTGTATGAACGTCCTAACTGTATGAACGTCCTAACTGTATGAACGTCCTCACTGTATGAATGTCCTAACTGTATGATCGTCCTAACTGTATGATCGTCCTAACTGTATGATCTGCAATGCCAAGTTGGGCACTTGTAGTCTAGCACCAGCAAAACTAAAAGAACACTTCTTAAAGCTGCATGGAGATGGAAAATACAAGAACACCAAGCTGGCTGAATTCAAGGTCAAACCGTGCATTTCTGAACAGGCAATACCAGAAGTCACTCTCATTTGCAGTGAATATTTATTATTATTAGTTTATTTTTGTGTGAAAATAATATTTTGATTGTTTGTTCTTGAACACTGTCAGTGATGTTGATACATTGTGTATATACAAGTAAAATATAGATCTAGATCCAAACCTATTTTGAATTTGAAAAAAAAATGTGTTATTATCCTATTAATAAAGTGCATTTGTCCCCATAGAACCTGACGGGGTAGTGTACCTCTAAAAAGGTTAAAACATTTAAATTTTTTTAATTAACTTATTTTTTTATAGGCCTAAATATCTTTTTTTGTTGTATTACAATTGCTATCTTGTTTATTTTAGTAATTAAGTAATATTTAGAGTCTTAGCTTCAAGTATTGTTGTAAGCCTTATGCCTTCTTATAGTCATAGACTCATAGACTGTACATCTAGATTCTAGATCTAGGTGTAAAACAAAAATCTATTTTAAGTATTACCGTAGTATTTGTATATAATTATATTATTATAGGCAGTGGCGGAACTAGAAAAAAAGGGCCACCCCGCAAAAAAATTTTTTAGGCCCCACCATATATATATATATATATATATATATATATAATAATAATAATATATATATATATATATATAATAATAATATATATATATATATATATATATATATATACAAAATCACAAAATACGAACATTAGATACTCATTACTGGCCTGTTCGGGATTTGAGAAACGTCAGTTTAAAACAATTTTAACATCATATCATGTGTGTAAGTGTATTAGTGTGTTTTGTGAATATCAGTTTTAATTGTTTGATGGAAGCCATCTTAACATCCGGTAGGTCAAAAATAATATAAAACATGAAAGCTTTGTATAAGTATTAATTAAGTAATGGTGTCTCGTGTTATGTTTATTTTTGTTTTTATTTGTATCTATATTATTAATTTTTTAAATATTATTGATTTAATACATTTCTTTTTTATGCAATGTCATTCTTCAGTAATTATTTATAAAAAAAAATAATAATTAAGAGAAGTAATTGGTTTTTAATTTCTTTGGTACAAATCTATTAAAAGGAGCTTATTATCACCCCTATTTGACTATTTTTGTTTAAAAAAGGGAAATATGTCATGAAGCGGTTTGAACATTTGCTTATCTTTGATAAGTTTGATAGTAGGCGAAAGACTCGGCTTTCACAGTGGTTTAAAAACAAAGGGAAAAATATACAAGAGCGTGGGGTGGTGTCTATAGAATAAAGATATTCCAACCGCAGCTACGGTAATTTTTTACAAAATAACCATAAGTCAAAAATGAAAGAAAATTGACTTTTTTTTTTAACTAAAAAAAATGTATTATGGTTGGCTCTGGGCCCCTAAATGGCGTGGGCCCCCCCCCCCCCCCCCCCGCAATGCGGGGTCTGGTGGCACTGTAGTTCCGCCCCTGATTATAGGCCTATAAAGCCCTATAGCCTATAGGCCTATTATATAGTTTAAAGTTTAAATATATAGGCCCTATTATATAGTTATATATATAGGGCATAGGCCTAGATTCTAGATATAGATTCTAGGCCTATTGCCCTATTAGACTATTACTATTAATCTAGATCTAGTCACTATTCAAACAAGACAATTATTAGACAATTATAATTTATGACTAAGTCCGACTAAGACCGTAAGATGTGTCTGAAAAATCAGAAATTCAATTTTTTAATAATAATTAATAATAGGCCTAAATATTAAAGAACAATGTTAATGTAGGGCCCTAATAAATTATTAAATTGTAGGTACTGTTACACAGTGTTACAGTTACTGATCTAGATCTACGAACGACTAGATCTAGATCTAATTACTAATATTCTAAATCTAATTCTAATCTAATAGTAATAGAATAGTACTTAGTACTAACCTACTTCTTAGTACTTAGATCTAGATCTAGATCTATACTATTCTATAGGCCTATCTTAATTTTTTTAGATCTGGGACTCTTTTTAGTCGTAGACTTTATTTTCTTTGTGGGTGGTCAGTATGGGAATCTGACACATGGACTGTCCCGAACAAAACAACTAAATCTAGATCTGTCAAATATAGGCCTATTTATTTAGACTAGATCTAAATAATTGTCGAGTCAGCTGATACAGCCCACAAAAATTTTAAGAGTGATCTCCCATCATTGGTTGGTGTAGCAGTTGGCCTAGCTTTGCAGTATAGTGTTTTATACTGTACACATAGGTTTTTGTAGTTTTGTTTTCACCTTGGCCTGAAATGTATTTTAAACCTGAATTCTTTTATTTTACAATTTCATATTATTATATCCTAGATGTCCTATCTACTCGTTCTTGATATAAAACCTCACTACTGTAAAACATCGTTGCAATAAATAGCGTCTTTAAAAAACGAGACATAAAGAGAGGTTTACAATCAAAGAACAAACACTTAACACTGTCGTAACAGCAAGGAGGCATCATAAAATCATACATCTAACAGCGAACTGTAATGCCACTTTTTACCCCTACACCTTGGTGGGGGGTGGACAGAGTTGTTCTCTAACCTATTTTACTTCTTTCAAGTCAACATAATACAAGTTTAGGGGGGGGGGGGGAGGGGGAGATATATAGTATTTTCTATTTCCATTTCGTTCGGGGGAGGGATGGCGGTAGATTTTCTTCTGAGCCCCCCCCCCCCCCCAAGAGATGCCTGAAAGAAACTCTGTCTTAAAAATAGAATAAAAGTCACAAGAAAAATATCACAGAAAGGAAAAATCTTATATGGAAAAAAGTCACAGAAAGAAAGTCACAATGTATTAAGAAATATTTTGATTTATTTTGTTTAGAATCGTATAATTTTGGGTGCTTATAAATATAGGTGGTGTTTTTTTTATCTGCCTGATAAGTAAATATACTCTAACTAACATAATTTACACAGCAACCTCAAATTTTGTTACATATTTATTTTAATACCCGGTATAAACATTAGGGGTCGTCCATAAATGACGTCACACTCGTAGGGGGGAGGGGGGTCCATAATTTTGTGACGGTGTGTGATGAGGGGGGGGGGTCAGATGATGCGACGTCACACTTTTGCATTATAAAAAAGCAATGTTAGAAAACGAATTTTAGCCGTTATCTCGCGATTTAGATAGAGTATCAATGTTTAAGAAAAATTCATCTTCAATTTTGAGGGGGGTTGTAGGCTGAGGTGTGACGTCATTTAGGGGGGGGGGGTCTGGCTTTTTGTGACGATGTTTGACGGAGGGGAAGGGGGGAGGTAAAAATCGTCCAAAAAAGCGTGACGTCATTTATGGATGACCCCTTAACGATAGCAGAAATTAGGCACATTATTATATTTATTTTGCGGGAGGCCTTTCCTCGGTCGACCTTGTCCATCCACATTGTATATTGTTGAGGATTGAGCCGATGTACCGTGTCGACTTTATGTCTAGATCGTATGTTTTGTTATGTAACGGGCTGGTAGATGTGTGTAGTACTGGTGACTATAATATTATTGCGATGAGTTACGGACAGCAATTCATATTAACTACGTCTTCTTTCCATCTCATGCTGATTAAAAGTTAGTATGATTCATACTTAATACTTAATACATAGAAGCAGTGGCGTAGCGAGGTCGGGTGTCACTCGGTGCGGCATTTAATGGTGTCGCCCCCTCAGAGGCGTAGCGACTCTTCTAAGAGGCCAAACTTCCAATTTTCGATTTGCACCCCCCCCCCTCAAACTTTCGATTTGCACCCCCCCCCCCTTCAAACTTTCGATTTGCACCCCCCTCAAATTTTTCTCCATATATTTCACTATTTTTTGCCTTGGTGTCACCCCCCTAAATGGTGTCACCCGGTGCGGTCCGCACCCCCCACCCCCGCTACGCCTCTGCATAGAAGCATTCTTATCACATTTCATAGAAATCATAGTGTATTTGATGTTTTAGCATTTTTGGTAACAAACACATTTTTTTAAATGCATAAAAATAAAAACGTTTTATAACAAGCTTTTCTATAATTATGCACTAAAAAATGAGAAAGTAAATGACTTTCTTTAAATATAAAATACACTACTATTTCAATAAGTAGAGAGAAAAGCGTGGGTGGCTGGTAAAGGTATTCAATCTATAATAATATATATAATTCTCTTCCTAGGGACCATGCGAGACACCACGCAAATGCACACCGTTACTCCCCCACTCTCTAGGCATATAGCCAGGGGCGTAGCGAGGGGGGGGGGCGGGGGGTGCGGACCGCACCGGGTGACACCATTTAGGGGGTGACACCAAGCAAAAAATAGCAAAATATGTAGAGAAAAACTCGAGGGGGTGCAAATCGAAAACTTGAGGGGTTGGGGTGCAAATCGAAAGTTTGAAGGGGGGGGGGGTGTGCAAATCAAAAGTTTGAGGGGGGTGCAAATAAAAAATTTGAGGGGGGGGGTGCAAATAAAAAATTTGAGGGGGGTGCAAATAAAAAAAAAATTGAGGGGGGGGGGAGGTGCAAATAAAAAATTTGAAAGTTTGTCCCCGGGAAGGGTCGCTACGCCTCTGGGGGGTGACACCATTAAGTGCCGCACCGGTTGACACCCGACCTCGCTACGCCACTGCATATAGCTACCACTCCCACTCCCTACCATTCTGGTGAGCTAAGGTTCACCCCGAATGTTTACAATCGTAGAGCCGGGTCGAATTAGTTACGGCTATTAGGGGCAGATAATTTATTTTATAAACAATTTGAAACTAAGGAGGGGTAAGAAGTTCTGCTTGATCTTTTTATTGTCGTCACGGTGGCGAGGGGGGGGGGGGGCGGAAGGGAGGGTAGTGTCGAAATAACTAATTATGAAAAGTAGAAAATAAAACAACCAAATAGCGACGTATGATACGCCGTAGGCTATATATAAACGTAGGCTATATATTTTCTAATTATTTTTTTATACTGACACCCAGTCAGTTAAATTGATTTAAAAGTGACACCCAGTCAGTTAAAATTATTTTAAAGTGACACCCAATCAGTTAAAATTATTTTAAAGTGACACCCAGTCAGTTAAAATTATTTTAAAGTGATACCGTTTTGCCAAGACTGGGAAACAAAACCCATGCATGTAATATTATATAAGTAAGGGACATAACTGACCTTTTAATCACAAGTCTGAACTTAGCCAATTTAATTTACCGAGGCAAATCTTAGTCCACAACTTGTTTCCTTGAATCCAAGCCGGCACGTATTGCACGTTAAGGGGATGTGGGACCCTGTGACCTTGTGGCCAGCTGAACTCGGTCAGCCGTGCAGATCACGGCCCGTCTGCTGCACGGATACCACGTGACACACACACTCAAGGTCAGAAGACACCCTGTGGGGGGTATGGACAGTGTGCGTTCAAAGTTTCGGGCACACTACAAGTCGTAGTGACAGCACCAAGTCAATATCACAGCAACAAGTCACGTGAAAGCACTAACAGAATTTCTTCCAGGCATCTCTTTGGCGGACCCCCCCCACCCTACGAAATGGAATTTATATAGAAAATATATACTTTTAACAGTCCCCCCCCCCCCCGCGGAGAAAACAAAACAACCATTGACAGCACCAAGTCATGTGAGAGCACCAAGTCATGTGACAGCACCAAGTCAAGTGACATCACTAAGTCAAGTGACAGCACCAAGTCATGTGACATCACTAAGTCATGTGACATCACTAAGTCAACCATTGACAGCACTAAGTCAAGTGACAGCACCAAGTCAAGTGGAAGCACCAAGTCAAGTAACAGCACCAAGTCATGTAACAGCGGGGTGCCAACATGTGGATCAATAAATGGAGTCGTAAAATGCTGAGTGCAGCATTTATTAAACACACTGGCCTTCAAGCTGAACAATTCAAGCTGCAAAGGTCACCTTTAATTTTTTTACTGACATTTAACATAAAGTTGTGTCTAAAGTCAGCTGGAACTGTTGTGTCTAAAGTCAGCTGGAACTGTTGTGTCTAAAGTCAACTGGTACTGTTGTGTCTAAAGTCAGCTGGAACTGTTGTGTCTAACATAAAGTCAGCTGGAACTGTTGTGTCTAAAGTCAACTGGTACTGTTGTGTCTAAAGTCAGCTGGAACTGTTGTGTCTAACATAAAGTCAGCTGGAACTGTTGTGTCTAAAGTCAGCTGGAACTGTTGTGTCTAAAGTCAGCTGGAACTGTTGTGTCTAAAGTCAGCTGGAACTGTTGTGTCTAAAGTCAACTGGAACTGTTGTGTCTAACATAAAGTCAGCTGGAACTGTTGTGTCTAAAGTCAGCTGGAACTGTTGTGTCTAACATAAAGTCAGCTGGAACTGTTGTGTCTAAAGTCAGCTGGAACTGTTGTGTCTAAAGTCAGCTGGAACTGTTGTGTCTAACATAAAGTCAGCTGGAACTGTTGTGTCTAAAGTCAGCTGGAACTGTTGTGTCTAAAGTCAGCTGGAACTGTTGTGTCTAAAGTCAGCTGGAACTGTTGTGTCTAAAGTCAACTGGAACTGTTGTGTCTAAAGTCAGCTGGAACTGTTGTGTCTAAAGTCAACTGGTACTGTTGTGTCTAAAGTCAGCTGGAACTGTTGTGTCTAACATAAAGTCAACTGGAACTGTTGTGTCTAAAGTCAGCTGGAACTGTTGTGTCTAAAGTCAACTGGTACTGTTGTGTCTAAAGTCAACTGGTACTGTTGTGTCTAAAGTCAGCTGGAACTGTTGTGTCTAACATAAAGTCAACTGGAACTGTTGTGTCTAAAGTCAGCTGGAACTGTTGTGTTTAAAGTCAACTGGAACTGTTGTGTCTAAAGTCAGCTGGAACTGTTGTGTCTAACATAAAGTCAACTGGAACTGTTGTGTCTAAAGTCAGCTGGAACTGTTGTGTCTAAAGTCAACTGGTACTGTTGTGTCTAAAGTCAGCTGGAACTGTTGTGTCTAAAGTCAGCTGGAACTGTTGTGTCTAAAGTCAGCTGGAACTGTTGTGTCTAACATAAAGTCAACTGGAACTGTTGTGTCTAAAGTCAACTGGAACTGTTGCGTCTAAAGTCAGCTGGAACTGTTGTGTCTAAAGTCAGCTGGAACTGTTGTGTCTAAAGTCAGCTGGAACTGTTGTGTCTAAAGTCAGCTGGAACTGTTGTGTCTAAAGTCAGCTGGAACTGTTGTGTCTAACATAAAGTCAGCTGGAACTGTTGTGTCTAACATAAAGTCAACTGGAACTGTTGTGTCTAACATAAAGTCAGCTGGAACTGTTGTGTCTAAAGTCAACTGGAACTCTTTGTGTCTAAAGTCAGCTGGAACTGTTGTGTCTAACATAAAGTCAGCTGGAACTGTTGTGTCTTAAGTCAGCTGGAACTCTTTGTGTCTAAAGTCAGCTGGAACTGTTGCGTCTAAAGTCAGCTGGAACTGTTGTGTCTAAAGTCAGCTGGAACTGTTGTGTCTAAAGTCAGCTGGAACTGTTGTGTCTAAAGTCAGCTGGAACTGTTGTGTCTTAAGTCAACTGGAACTGTTGTGTCTTAAGTCAGCTGGAACTGTTGTGTCTAAAGTCAGCTGGAACTGTTGTGTCTAACATAAAGTCAGCTGGAACTGTTGTGTCTTAAGTCAGCTGGAACTGTTGTGTCTAAAGTCAGCTGGAACTGTTGTGTCTAACATAAAGTCAACTGGAACTGTTGTGTCTAACATAAAGTCAGCTGGAACTGTTGTGTCTAAAGTCAACTGGAACTCTTTGTGTCTAAAGTCAGCTGGAACTGTTGTGTCTAACATAAAGTCAGCTGGAACTGTTGTGTCTAACATAAAGTCAGCTGGAACTGTTGTGTCTTAAGTCAGCTGGAACTCTTTGTGTCTAAAGTCAGCTGGAACTGTTGCGTCTAAAGTCAGCTGGAACTGTTGCGTCTAAAGTCAGCTGGAACTGTTGCGTCTAAAGTCAGCTGGAACTGTTGTGTCTAAAGTCAACTGGAACTGTTGCGTCTAAAGTCAGCTGGAACTGTTGTGTCTAAAGTCAGCTGGAACTGTTGTGTCTAAAGTCAGCTGGAACTGTTGTGTCTAACATAAAGTCAGCTGGAACTGTTGTGTCTAACATAAAGTCAACTGGAACTGTTGTGTCTAAAGTCAGCTGGAACTGTTGTGTTTAAAGTCAGCTGGAACTGTTGTGTCTTAAGTCAACTGGAACTGTTGTGTCTAAAGTCAGCTGGAACTGTTGTGTCTTAAGTCAACTGGAACTGTTGTGTCTAAAGTCAGCTGGAACTGTTGTGTCTAAAGTCAGCTGGAACTGGTGTGTCTAAAGTCAACTGGAACTGTTGTGTCTAACATAAAGTCAGCTGGAACTGTTATGTCTAAAGTCAGCTGGAACTGTTGCGTCTAAAGTCAGCTGGAACTGTTGCGTCTAAAGTCAGCTGGAACTGTTGTGTCTTAAGTCAGCTGGAACTGTTGTGTCTAACATAAAGTCAGCTGGAACTGTTGTGTCTAAAGTCAGCTGGAACTCTTGTGTCTAACATAAAGTCAGCTGGAACTGTTGTGTCTAAAGTCAGCTGGAACTGTTGTGTCTTAAGTCAGCTGGAACTGTTGTGTCTAACATAAAGTCAGCTGGAACTGTTGTGTCTAAAGTCAGCTGGAACTGTTGTGTCTAAAGTCAGCTGGAACTGTTGTGTCTAAAGTCAACTGGAACTGTTGTGTCTAACATAAAGTCAGCTGGAACTGTTGTGTCTAAAGTCAGCTGGAACTGTTGTGTCTAACATAAAGTCAGCTGGAACTGTTGTGTCTAAAGTCAGCTGGAACTGTTGTGTCTAAAGTCAGCTGGAACTGTTGTGTCTAACATAAAGTCAGCTGGAACTGTTGTGTCTAAAGTCAGCTGGAACTGTTGTGTCTAAAGTCAGCTGGAACTGTTGTGTCTAAAGTCAGCTGGAACTGTTGTGTCTAAAGTCAACTGGAACTGTTGTGTCTAAAGTCAGCTGGAACTGTTGTGTCTAAAGTCAACTGGTACTGTTGTGTCTAAAGTCAGCTGGAACTGTTGTGTCTAACATAAAGTCAACTGGAACTGTTGTGTCTAAAGTCAGCTGGAACTGTTGTGTCTAAAGTCAACTGGTACTGTTGTGTCTAAAGTCAACTGGTACTGTTGTGTCTAAAGTCAGCTGGAACTGTTGTGTCTAACATAAAGTCAACTGGAACTGTTGTGTCTAAAGTCAGCTGGAACTGTTGTGTTTAAAGTCAACTGGAACTGTTGTGTCTAAAGTCAGCTGGAACTGTTGTGTCTAACATAAAGTCAACTGGAACTGTTGTGTCTAAAGTCAGCTGGAACTGTTGTGTCTAAAGTCAGCTGGAACTGTTGTGTCTAAAGTCAGCTGGAACTGGTGTGTCTAAAGTCAACTGGAACTGTTGTGTCTAACATAAAGTCAGCTGGAACTGTTATGTCTAAAGTCAGCTGGAACTGTTGTGTCTAAAGTCAGCTGGAACTGTTGTGTCTAAAGTCAGCTGGAACTGTTGCGTCTAAAGTCAGCTGGAACTGTTGTGTCTAAAGTCAGCTGGAACTGTTGTGTCTAAAGTCAGCTGGAACTGTTGTGTCTAAAGTCAAGATTACAATACTTTCTATATACCTCGTATACGAGAAAGTAAAAATGACAGACAAAAACTGCTTATATCTACATCTAAAATGCATACATTAAAACGGCAGTGATTGTATATTTTTTTTTAAACACTCCGGCTCATGAGGTAAAAAATAAAAACTAATAAAAAATTAGTGCCTGTAAGTGTATGGTAAGCGATTATTAATATAAAGGTTTTATATTATTTTATAAAGGTTTTGAGACCAAGGAGTCAGTATTTTTATGATTGTTAATATTACCAAACAGAAAAGAATGCTTTCAAACACTTTAGATTTAAATATTGAATACTTTGAGGAATGGGTTGGTAGTAAAATATCTTCAAAGAATCAAAATAGGCCTATTTATACTTGACGTTCTAAATATATGTGACGCAGGGATGGAACCAGGAATACAAAGTAACGTATCATAGCTGGAGAGGATAGAAAGAAATGGAGACCAGCTGAAGAGAGTGGCAGAAGACATTGGGGAAAGCTTGAGAGAGGCCCCGTGAGGAAAGCTTGAGAGAGGCCCCGTGAGGAAAGCTTGAGAGAGGCCCCGTGAGGAAAGCTTGAGAGAGGCCCCGTGAGGAAAGCTTGAGAGAGGCCCCGTGAGGAAAGCTTGAGAGAGGCCCCGTGAGGAAAGAAAAGGAAAAATGAGGATCTTTCAACATTGAAAACATTATTTATTTGTCTTAAGATATTCTAAATACTACTATTAATATTTAGGCCGAATGATATACAATACTAAAAACACAAAATCACTTGATAAAAATATTAATTAATGGCATTGCTAATGGATGAGCTCAGATCTCCACTACATGCCTCCATTTGGGTATTGGTCGCATGTAAGTGTTGTTTGGGAAACCGCCTGGATTCCAAATATATAGTACTAGCTATGTATAGCTGTATCTATACATATATAAATGAAAGTATGTGGATTCGTGTTGTTTGTGGGTTTGTCCTTCATGCATAACCACAAGTTTCATCGATCGGCGTGAAACTTTGGGGAGTTGATGGAATACTGCAGGGGAGGTTTCTGCGAAAAAAATGAATTTTTAATTTCAAAGGGGCGACGCCACGGTGCCATTTGGCACTCTGGGCTTGACTGTGAGCACTATGACGCCTATGTTCATTTTAAAAACCACCCTACAATATTGATGCTGTGGCACACGACATTAGATGATTAAAGCAAGCCAGATTTTCAAGATTTTCATACAGCACACCCTGAGATGGGCTTAACGGTAGTGTGGGCAAACCCTGCACCTACAAATATGATCCAAGAAATAGAGCACAGGCATTGCTTACTTTTAAATAATTCAGTTTTAGAAAACAAGGTCACACGTTTAAAAATATAGGCTTGGTAATGCAATGATGAAATCCTCTTAAAATATTGCATCAGACTCGTTACTCAAATAAAAAAAAGAGTTGCTTTCTAATAATTCTATGACGTGTTCTGTGTACACTTGTCTCCCAGACTAGATTATGTCCCTTGACTAAACAGATTCTAGTTGTCCTGTAAAATAATACAAAGTGCCATCTTGTGAACTTTGTAAATAAGCTTGCTGCAGTACTTGGCCATCTTGTGAGCCATCAATGTAGGTCTGCTGCACAGGTTGGCCATCTTGTGAGCCATCAATGTAGGCCTGGTCTAGCACTTGGCCATCTTGTGAGCCATCAATGTAGGCCTGCTGTACAGGTCGGCCATCTTGTGAGCCTTGAATAAAGGTCTGCTGCAGGCCATTGCCCTGCTCTATGACTGTGGCAACATCAGCTGATTTTTCTCCTGGGCTTTTGGCATCCTCAGCAATTAAAATGGCCACCTCTGTTCCAAGGTCAGCCTGAAATAAGGTCACTGTGTCAGGCAAGTATCTTTGGTCACTGTATCAGGCAAGTATCTTTGGTTCAGTGAGTCAGGCAAGTATCTTTGGTTCAGTGAGTCAGGCAAGTATCTTTGGTCACTGTGTCAGGCAAGTATCTTTGGTTCAGTGTGTCAGGCAAGTATCTTTGGTCACTGTGTCAGGCAAGTATCTTTGGTCACTGTGTCAGGCAAGTATCTTTGGTTCAGTGAGTCAGGCAAGTATCTTTGGTCACTGTGTCAGGCAAGTATCTTTGGTTCAGTGTGTCAGGCAAGTATCTTTGGTCACTGTGTCAGGCAAGTATCTTTGGTCACTGTGTCAGGCAAGTATCTTTGGTTCAGTGAGTCAGGCAAGTATCTTTGGTTCAGTGAGTCAGGCAAGTATCTTTGGTTCAGTGAGTCAGGCAAGTATCTTTGGTTCAGTGAGTCAGGCAAGTATCTTTGGTTCAGTGAGTCAGGCAAGTATCTTTGGTCACTGTGTCAGGCAAGTATCTTTGGTTCAGTGAGTCAGGCAAGTATCTTTGGTTCAGTGAGTCAGGCAAGTATCTTTGGTTCAGTGAGTCAGGCAAGTATCTTTGGTTCAGTGAGTCAGGCAAGTATCTTTGGTTCAGTGAGTCAGGCAAGTATCTTTGGTTCACTGTGTCAGGCAAGTATCTTTGGTTCAGTGAGTCAGGCAAGTATCTTTGGTTCAGTGAGTCAGGCAAGTATCTTTGGTCACTGTATCAGGCAAGTATCTTTGGTTCAGTGAGTCAGGCAAGTATCTTTGGTTCAGTGTGTCAGGCAAGTATCTTTGGTTCAGTGAGTCAGGCAAGTATCTTTGGTTCAGTGAGTCAGGCAAGTATCTTTGGTTCAGTGAGTCAGGCAAGTATCTTTGGTCACTGTGTCAGGCAAGTATCTTTGGTCACTGTGTCAGGCAAGTATCTTTGGTCACTGTGTCAGGCAAGTATCTTTGGTCACTGTGTCAGGCAAGTATCTTTGGTTCAGTGAGTCAGGCAAGTATCTTTGGTTCAGTGAGTCAGGCAAGTATCTTTGGTTCAGTGAGTCAGGCAAGTATCTTTGGTCACTGTGTCAGGCAAGTATCTTTGGTCACTGTATCAGGCAAGTATCTTTGGTTCAGTGAGTCAGGCAAGTATCTTTGGTTCAGTGAGTCAGGCAAGTATCTTTGGTTCAGTGAGTCAGGCAAGTATCTTTGGTTCAGTGAGTCAGGCAAGTATCTTTGGTTCAGTGAGTCAGGCAAGTATCTTTGGTTCAGTGAGTCAGGCAAGTATCTTTGGTTCAGTGAGTCAGGCAAGTATCTTTGGTCACTGTGTCAGGCAAGTATCTTTGGTTCAGTGAGTCAGGCAAGTATCTTTGGTCACTGTGTCAGGCAAGTATCTTTGGCTCAGTGAGTCAGGCAAGTATCTTTGGTTCAGTGAGTCAGGCAAGTATCTTTGGTCACTGTGTCAGGCAAGTATCTTTGGTCACTGTGTCAGGCAAGTATCTTTGGTTCAGTGTGTCAGGCAAGTATCTTTGGTCACTGTGTCAGGCAAGTATCTTTGGTCACTGTGTCAGGCAAGTATCTTTGGTTCAGTGAGTCAGGCAAGTATCTTTGATCACTGTGTCAGGCAAGTATCTTTGGTCACTGTGTCAGGCAAGTATCTTTGGTTCAGTGAGTCAGGCAAGTATCTTTGGTCACTGTGTCAGGCAAGTATCTTTGGTCACTGTATCAGGCAAGTATCTTTGGTTCAGTGAGTCAGGCAAGTATCTTTGGTTCACTGTGTCAGGCAAGTATCTTTGGTCACTGTGTCAGGCAAGTATCTTTGGTCACTGTGTCAGGCAAGTATCTTTGGTCACTGTGTCAGGCAAGTATCTTTGGTCACTGTGTCAGGCGAGTATCTTTGGTCACTGTGTCAGGCAAGTATCTTTGGTTCAGTGTGTCAGGCAAGTATCTTTGGTTCACTGTGTCAGGCAAGTATCTTTGGTTCAGTGAGTCAGGCAAGTATCTTTGGTTCACTGTGTCAGGCAAGTATCTTTGGTTCAGTGAGTCAGGCAAGTATCTTTGGTTTAGTGAGTCAGGCAAGTATCTTTGGTTCAGTGAGTCAGGCAAGTATCTTTGGTCACTGTGTCAGGCAAGTATCTTTGGTTCAGTGAGTCAGGCAAGTATCTTTGGTCACTGTGTCAGGCAAGTATCTTTGGTTCAGTATGTCAGGCAAGTATCTTTGGTTCAGTGAGTCAGGCAAGTATCTTTGGTCACTGTGTCAGGCAAGTATCTTTGGTTCAGTGAGTCAGGCAAGTATCTTTGGTTCAGTGTGTCAGGCAAGTATCTTTGGTTCAGTGTGTCAGGCAAGTATCTTTGGTTCAGTGAGTCAGGCAAGTATCTTTGGTCACTGTGTCAGGCAAGTATCTTTGGTTCAGTGAGTCAGGCAAGTATCTTTGGTTCACTGTGTCAGGCAAGTATCTTTGGTTCACTGAGTCAGGCAAGTATCTTTGGTTCAGTGAGTCAGGCAAGTATCTTTGGTCACTGTGTCAGGCAAGTATCTTTGGTTCACTGTGTCAGGCAAGTATCTTTGGTTCAGTGAGTCAGGCAAGTATCTTTGGTCACTGTGTCAGGCAAGTATCTTTGGTTCAGTGAGTCAGGCAAGTATCTTTGGTTCAGTGAGTCAGGCAAGTATCTTTGGTTCAGTGAGTCAGGCAAGTATCTTTGGTTCAGTGAGTCAGGCAAGTATCTTTGGTTCAGTGAGTCAGGCAAGTATCTTTGGTCACTGTGTCAGGCAAGTATCTTTGGTTCAGTGAGTCAGGCAAGTATCTTTGGTTCAGTGAGTCAGGCAAGTATCTTTGGTTCAGTGAGTCAGGCAAGTATCTTTGGTTCAGTGAGTCAGGCAAGTATCTTTGGTCACTGTGTCAGGCAAGTATCTTTGGTTCAGTGAGTCAGGCAAGTATCTTTGGTTCAGTGTGTCAGGCAAGTATCTTTGGTTCAGTGAGTCAGGCAAGTATCTTTGGTCACTGTGTCAGGCAAGTATCTTTGGTTCAGTGAGTCAGGCAAGTATCTTTGGTCACTGTGTCAGGCAAGTATCTTTGGTTCAGTGAGTCAGGCAAGTATCTTTGGTTCAGTGTGTCAGGCAAGTATCTTTGGTTCAGTGAGTCAGGCAAGTATCTTTGGTTCAGTGAGTCAGGCAAGTATCTTTGGTTCAGTGAGTCAGGCAAGTATCTTTGGTTCAGTGAGTCAGGCAAGTATCTTTGGTTCAGTGAGTCAGGCAAGTATCTTTGGTTCAGTGAGTCAGGCAAGTATCTTTGGTTCAGTGAGTCAGGCAAGTATCTTTGGTTCAGTGAGTCAGGCAAGTATCTTTGGTTCAGTGAGTCAGGCAAGTATCTTTGGTTCAGTGAGTCAGGCAAGTATCTTTGGTTCAGTGAGTCAGGCAAGTATCTTTGGTTCAGTGAGTCAGGCAAGTATCTTTGGTCACTGTGTCAGGCAAGTATCTTTGGTTCAGTGAGTCAGGCAAGTATCTTTGGTTCAGTGAGTCAGGCAAGTATCTTTGGTCACTGTGTCAGGCAAGTATCTTTGGTTCAGTGAGTCAGGCAAGTATCTTTGGTTCAGTGAGTCAGGCAAGTATCTTTGGTTCAGTGAGTCAGGCAAGTATCTTTGGTTCAGTGAGTCAGGCAAGTATCTTTGGTTCAGTGAGTCAGGTAAGTATCTTTGGTTCACTGTGTCAGGCAAGTATCTTTGGTCACTGTGTCAGGCAAGTATCTTTGGTTCACTGAGTCAGGCAAGTATCTTTGGTTCAGTGAGTCAGGCAAGTATCTTTGCTTCAGTGAGTCAGGTAAGTATCTTTGGTTCACTGTGTCAGGCAAGTATCTTTGGTCACTGTGTCAGGCAAGTATCTTTGGTTCACTGAGTCAGGCAAGTATCTTTGGTTCAGTGAGTCAGGCAAGTATCTTTGGTCACTGTGTCAGGCAAGTATCTTTGGTCACTGTGTCAGGCAAGTATCTTTGGTTCAGTGAGTCAGGCAAGTATCTTTGGTCACTGTGTCAGGCAAGTATTTTTGGTTCAGTGAGTCAGGCAAGTATCTTTGGTCACTGTGTCAGGCAAGTATCTTTGGTTCACTGTGTCAGGCAAGTATCTTTGGTTCAGTGAGTCAGGCAAGTATCTTTGGTCACTGTGTCAGGCAAGTATCTTTGGTTCAGTGAGTCAGGCAAGTATCTTTGGTCACTGTGTCAGGCAAGTATCTTTGGCTCAGTGAGTCAGGCAAGTATCTTTGGTTCAGTGAGTCAGGCAAGTATCTTTGGTTCAGTGAGTCAGGCAAGTATCTTTGGTTCACTATTTCAGGCAAGTATCTTTGGTCACTGTGTCAGGCAAGTATCTTAGGTTCAGTGAGTCAGGCAAGTATCTTTGGTTTAGTGAGTCAGGCAAGTATCTTTGGCTCAGTGAGTCAGGCAAGTATCTTTGGTCACTGTGTCAGGCAAGTATCTTTGGTTCAGTGAGTCAGGCAAGTATCTTTGGTTCAGTGTGTCAGGCAAGTATCTTTGGTTCACTGTGTCAGGCAAGTATCTTTGGTTCAGTGAGTCAGGCAAGTATCTTTGGTTTAGTGAGTCAGGCAAGTATCTTTGGCTCAGTGAGTCAGGCAAGTATCTTTGGTTCAGTGAGTCAGGCAAGTATCTTTGGTCACTGTGTCAGGCAAGTATCTTTGGTTCAGTGAGTCAGGCAAGTATCTTTGGTCACTGTGTCAGGCAAGTATCTTTGGTTCAGTGAGTCAGGCAAGTATCTTTGGTTCAGTGAGTCAGGCAAGTATCTTTGGTCACTGTGTCAGGCAAGTATCTTTGGTTCAGTGAGTCAGGCAAGTATCTTTGGTTCAGTGAGTCAGGCAAGTATCTTTGGTTCAGTGAGTCAGGCAAGTATCTTTGGTCACTGTGTCAGGCAAGTATCTTTGGTTCACTGTGTCAGGCAAGTATCTTTGGTTCAGTGAGTCAGGCAAGTATCTTTGGTTCAGTGAGTCAGGCAAGTATCTT